GTTGTATAGTTTTTGAATCAAGATCACTTGCTATGATGTAGTTTTCAAATTTTTTACGCCATTTTGGCCATTTATTAGGATCATTTTGATCTATTGTAAACGCAGAAGGCGGTAGTAAATTATTCATAATTATCTTTTATTATTTATGAGAAAGCAAAATATAGAAAAATTAAAATAGTTATTATACCTATATTTTTATATTTTAAAACGATAGACTTACCGCTGCCACCATGTTATGTTGTTCGTTTACACTTTAGTATTCTTTATAGTCTATGGTAATTCAATAAGAAGTCGTAAGCAAAACTAATGGTTTATTACTTAAGTTACATGCAAATTCTGAATGCTATTCAGTGATGATGATAAATCGTTGGCGTTGCCAAACTAAAAGTTTAATATACATTACAATAACTGAAAATCTTGAACCTTGGCAAAAAGCCGAACATAGACCAGATTTGGTGGCACGTGTCTTTAACTTAAAGTTAAAAGAGTTGCTAAAAGATATAAAAGCAGGGCTATTTGGAAAGTTAACTGCAATGGTCCATGTAATTGAATTTCAAAAAAGAGGGCTTCCTCACGCCCACATATTAATAATATTGGCTGCAGAGGCAAAATTTAATACAGAAGCGGATATAGACAGAATTGTATCTGCCGAAATTCCAGATAAGGAAAAATTTCCGGTTCTTTTCGGAATAGTTACAAAACACACGATTCATGGTCCATGTGGAAAAAATAATCCAAGGTCCCCATGTATGGAAAATGGTCAATGCACGAAAAAATTTCCAAAAGATTATGAACGTTGATGGATATCCAAAATACAAAGGAAGAGTGATATCTGAACAGGTTTATGTAAATTATAAACCTATCAATAATTCATGGGTTCTTCCATACAACGCATACATATTGTTAAGATTCAACTGCCATATAAATGTTGAAATCTGTGTTCATCTGTACATGTAGTTAAATACTTATTAAAGTATGTATATAAAGGCCATGATTCTGCCAATATAGAAATACGTGAACAGACCTTGAATCACGATGAACCAACTAAATTTGTTGATTCAAGATATGTTGGCCCTGTAGAAGGAGGTTGGAGAATTTTCGGATTCCATATGCATGAACAATCCCATGCTATAATACGGTTAGCCGTCCACTTGCCTGATTATCAAGACGTTGTATTTAATGACGATATCAGCGATGAACAGCTGCAAAATAGACTGAGTCGAGACTCAACATTAATGGGTTATTTTAAACTTAACCGTGATGATCCTAATGCGAGGGAATACTTATATCGTGAAATCCCCGAGCATTATACTTGGAATTGCAAAGAGAGGCAATGGAACACGCGAAAATTGCGTGGAGCTAAAGTGATTGGCAGAATGTATACTGTCAGCGTTAAAGAACAAGAGCGCTATTATTTGAGGCTACTTCTCTTAAATGTAAAGGCAGCTCAGTCATTCGACGATTTAAAAACTGTCGACGAAATATTATATCCCAGATTTAGAGAAGCTGCACTTGCAAGAGGTCTTTTCCTCGATGATAGTGTATGGAAATCTACACTGGAAGATGGCGTCGTCATGAACATGCCAAAGCAATTTCGAGAGTTGTTTGCATATATTTGCGTATTTGGACCACCCGCAAAACAACGCGAATTGTGGGATGAATTTAAGCCTCACATGTGTGAAGACTTTTGCCGAAAGCATCATCCTAATGATGATGCATGCACCCATTGCGAGGGTTATGCCATGAAAGAAATTAGTGACATATTTCTACGTCATCGAGTTAATTATAACGAATATGGGCTTCCAGTGCCAGCATGGAACATCAGGGATGTTCATCAGTTCATCCCTGATGTTCCATGTTCAGAGGAATATATTTCTGATACTGAAGTTCTTTTAGCCGCTGATAAAATGGAAAGTTTTAACGCTGAACAAACAGCAGCATATGATCAAATAATGGCTGCAGTCAAAGATGTAACAATGAGACCAAAATGTTTCTTCATTGATGGTCCAGGTGGGAGTGGAAAGACTTACCTCTATACCACCTTGATGCACTCCGTTAGAGGAATGAACCAAGTTGTTCTTCCAGCTGCTACTACTGGCATTGCAGCCAATTTATTACAAGGAGGAAAAACAATGCACTCCTTATACGGACTTCTAAATCCGTTGAATGAAACTTCCGTTTCAAATATTAAAATGACTACAATGGCTGCTGGCACCCTCCGAAAGGCAAAGCTATTTATTATTGATGAGTGTACAATGGCTTCAAACCATGCCCTTAACACAATCGATAGACTTCTTAGAGAAGCCATGGCTGAGGATAAAAAATATCCTACCCAAATTCCATTTGGTGGTAAGGTCCTCATTGTAGGAGGCGATTTCCGGCAATGCCTACCAGTAATACCTCATGGTATGAGAGCACAAATTGTGCAAAGTTGTTTGAAATATTCTCAGACATGGAGCCATTTTGAGCACTTACCATTGGTAAGAAATGTAAGGGCCAGATCGGACCCCGAATACACAGAATGGCTATTAAAGCTAGGCAATGGAAGTCTTCCAACCTTTGACGATTTGGGAGCAGATCTCATTGAGATTCCCCAAGAACTAATATGCAAAGACGATATAGTCCGAAAAATATTTGGAGACACAATTACTCCTGAATTGGTTGAAACCATGTCACAAAGAGCAATTTTGTGCCCCAAGAATGACGATGTTCATAAAATGGATGACCAAGTCATGGACGTATAGTTGGCGACTACCACACTTATTTAAGTGATGATTCCGTTGTCTCTCTCTCTCTATCTCAGACAGCGATGAAGAGCGGAATAATTTTCCCGTTGAATTCCTGAATAGTGTTACTCCTTCAGGAATGCCGCCTCATCGTCTAAGATTAAAGGTCGGATGCATTATTCAGCTTCTTAGAAATCTGAAGAAGGGTTTATGTAATGGAACCCGCTTTACTGTTAAATCATTAAAGAGTAACGTCATTGAGGCAGAAGTCCTGACTGGCTCAAATAAAGGGGACATTGTATTGATTCCCCGAATAGATTTGGCCCCATCTGAAACAGGATTGCCCTTCATAATGAAGAGACGGCAATTTCCTGTAAAACCTGCCTTTGTCATGACCATAAATAAGGCACAAGGTCAAACGCTCGAACGTGTAGGCATTTATTTGCCGGAGCCTGTATTCGGTCACGGACAACTTTATGTTGCCTTTTCAAGAGTGAAACACAGTAGTGATGTTAAAATCATGATTAAAGATTCAGCACTGCAAGGCAGGCTAATTGAAGGAAGCGACAGAGTCTTTACTCGAAATGTCGTATTTAAAGAATTTTTTTAAGCTAGCCCAGCGTGGCATAGAGGAGTAACCCTCAGTAAATATCTACATAAAGGAAGGAAAACCTATAACCCGTGTGATAGCACGTAGTTAAGTAATGCCCTTAACCTGATGAGTGCCAAGGCTAGGCCGAAACGTTGTTATCACTTCTACATAATATTTGAAATCTAAAATGTTCGAGAATATCGTTTTTTTTTGTATCATTTTGTTCGAAGAACAAACAGGATAATTAGATTATTTAGGTATAGGCAAAAGAATGATGACGGTATACTTTCAAATTCTTTTTTTCGCAACTACTGTTATCTATATAAAAAAAATCAATGTTTGTATGTTTGTTTGTTTGTATGTCCGGTATACAAATTCGCAGTAGTTCACTAATTCAAACCAGAATTTCCATACATAGGTAAAGAAATACGGGGAAGACGATAGGCTGATTTAAAAAAATATGAATCAATTATTAAAACTATATATTCAAATTATTCTACATAACTCACGAACAGCGCCCTCTATCAAAGAATAGATTAAATTATGCTGATGCAAACAAATAGATAATGCTAATAACAAACAATTATTATTAAAATATCTTATCTAAATATATATCACTCGGGTAGATATGCACACGGGTCAATCCCGGGGCAAAGCCCGGGTCACCCGTCTAGTGTCATTAGAACTCTAATTGTATCCACGAGGATTCCAATTAATTTATCATTACCTCGATCATCACCAATTTGTGTTTTATCTTAAATTTTATATTTAAACTAGCGGACGTACCCGGCTTCGCCCGGGTTTTACCCGAGTAAAGGTTTGTCAAACGAATCTCTCGATAAAGTGAACATTTTTTCCCCGGTCCCTTGAAAAATACTCGATAAGTTGAATAAAATCAATATTAATTGGTTCCCTCGGTAATTGGAAGTTAAAGGAATAGTATCTTGCCTTGGAATTGTATCATTATTCTTGTACGGATGTACCCGGCTTCGCCCGGGTTTTACCCGAGTAAAGGTTTGGCTAACGAATCTCTCGATAAAGTGAATATTTTTTCCCGGTCCCTTGAAAAATACTCGATAAGTTGAATAAAATCAATATTAATTGGTTCCCTCGGTAATTGAAAGTTAAAGGAATAGTAACTTGCCTTTGAATTGTATCATTATTCTTGTATCAAATAAATTGCGGTGTCATCCTGAATTTTGTCTTTCCTAATTTTCTACATTACAAAATCATCGTATCATCATGATAATATTTAGAGCAGATTGTTGAATTATAACAGATAAATTAGAATATTTATCTTGATTATTTATAGGCGAAAAGTTATTTCAAAAATTTTATTTGCTAGAAACCTTCCCAGTACTATACTAAATAAATTCCCAAAGTTTCATGGCGTTCCAATGAGTGGTTTGGTCAGGCATAAAGGACAAACAGACACACACACACACACACATACATTCATTTTTATATATATAGATATATTATTACATTTTAGAAAGATAATAAGATATAATCACGATAAAATAATATTTGTTAAAGAAATATTCACTCGGGAAGAACCTGCCTGAAGCAGGGTCGCGAAATTAAAATATACAAGTATCAGAGTCATAATCAACAATCAATCAATTCTGTCACCGTTTGCTTTTGTGAATGGAATAAATACCCAAATATGGCATTTTTTATAAGCATCGGTGGTTCAGAGGCGAGAATGCTCGCCTGCCACGCGGGCTGCCCGGGTTCGATTCCCGGCCGATGCATTTTTTTTTTCAATTTTTAAAACTCATTTATATTTATTATTATTAATATGTACAGTTATCAGAGTCATGCACAATTCTGTCCCGTTAAGTCACGTGTCAAGTTACGGTAAGTAAAATTTTAAAAATCATATATGCAAGTATCAGAGTCATCAATTCTGTCATCGTTTTAAAAAATTAAAATATTAAAAAAAGATGCCGAAACCCGGGATCGAACCAGGGACCTTTAGATCTTCAGTCTAACACTCTCCCAACTGGGCTATTTCGGCTTATTTTATTTATTTCTATAGAAGCTTCTTTCTTTAGAATTATGTATGTAATATATCGGGCCTTTTTTGGTGGTTGAGTTGTTTGATTGATTGAGTGATTGATGATTGTTGTAGTAGTACGTTGACTTACTGTAATTGATGTGGGCGCAGTCGTTTTGCTGAAATAGTAAGGTGTTCACACAGGGGAAAATATCGAGGACACAGGATTGGATTGAAATAGGCCAGCGATCAAGGGAGAGAGGGGTTATTCTATTGACGTATTTGACTATTGGCTAGATTATTCACATTTTAAGGATTGGATTTTTCTGGGTGCTGAGAAGATGGTGGCGAGCTCCAACTGTCTGCGATGGTGTCGAGCTCCTAACTCTGGCAGGTCCAGCTCCCTACTGTTTTCGATGCTGTCCAGGTCCTGACTAACTAACTTGAGTCCGAGATTTAACTCGTTAACTCCTCAGGGCTCTCATTGGATGATAGTCGTGTCGTGGCCGTCTCTAATTGGATCTTAGCTAGTCCTTTATCTTTGTCTTGTTTTAACATGCTCCCGGAAGAAGAAGGTTCTTGAACTCAGTTTTATTAGTTCCTGGGTAATAACTTTTGCTTCCTGGATAATGAAAACCTGCTAATGATTGTTTCTTCTCTGATGGCCTTTCTCCCAGATTCGCTAGGCCTAACCTTTATTAAAATCTTTACAATACATTGCATATATTGTGGTGGGGTTACATCTAGTTATGTACAAATTATGACATGTATATTTTCAAAAAGTCAATTCACACCTCTTCGCTGGAGACCATGGGAATACTGACTAATTCATTATGCTAACATAATCATATATTCAAGTATCAGAGTCATCAATTCTGACACGTTAAGTCACGTGTCAAGTTACGATAAGTGCACACAATGCAAAAAAAAAAAAAACTTTACAAATTTAGCGTTACTGTATGTTAATAATCACTTTCTTATTTTTTATTTTTTTCTGGCCTTTGTTTTTTATCTCTCTTTTTTTAAATCGTTTAAAATGCAGTCGCAGTCACTAGCAAACACATATGTCTGCCTAATTTCCATGTGCTCTTTATTTTTTACAGAAAAATATTTACATGCCAGTATTTTGGATTAATATTTTTTATAAACCTATTTTTTCTTATTTTTACTGAGAAGATGGGCATCGCAGTCAAGATCCATCGTAGTCACTCACTCAATTCAGGCAATTTCAAGGGTTAGTGCGCTGGGGCGGGTACCTCGGGGGTTGGGTGGAAAAGCTGCCATCTATTTAAACTATATTGATTTTGAAACAACTAAATGCATTGCGAAAAATAATTAAATCAAATACCTAAACACTAATTTAATACAATTTTTGCCATCACACACACTTTTTGCCTGTGGTTTATGTGTTACTTCTGTGTTGCTATTCTATGGCACTTCTACTATTTATTATTGATTTACTTTCAGTATGAAGGAAATTGCACTCGGGGTAATTCTCGGGCGAAGCCGGGTCATTCGTCTAGAGAATTCAAGAATGACATTCACGGCGCCAATTTATAATTGTAATGAATAGTATTTGAATAAAAGCATTTAATCGGGCGTTGCCCAGGTCATTCGGCTAGTTAAAATATACAAGTATCAGAGTCATCAATTCTGTTATCGTTTGCTTTTGTGAATGGAATTCTTTTACGTAATATACGTAAAATACGTAACTAATATGACTGAAATTTTAGCAGTATGTATAGTAGAACTGTAAAAACTTATATTGAATATTTCAGGTCTCTATCCCGAATATTCTTCGAGTTATTTGCAAATTTGAGTTGCAAAATTGCTCTTTCGCTCGCAAGCAGCGCCTCTAGCGGTGAAGATGGGAGGTAATATCAGCTGACCTAATGTACATGTAAAACGTGTTTTAACGGGACATAGAAAAAAAATATGGAAAATATATTTTTCGGATTTTCGGTCAATAAAAATTGAAATTGACAGGTCTGGGCAAAAATAGTTGTTTTTTTTAGTCAGAAAATGATTATGACAATATTGCTGTATCATATTTGATTATCATATACAAAATTATATCCGGAAAAAAATCCAAAAAGCAGAGACCACGGATGAAGCCAGTTCATTTTTAGTATGCAGGAACAAAATTCTAACAGAAAAACATTCATTCGAGCAGAAGACACAAAGCCAGATCATCTCTTTTTAAAAATATCGCTTCTCAGACACAAAGTTTGGACCGGGACGTTTCACAAGAATGACATCCACGGCGCCAATTTATAATTGTAACAAATAGTATTTGAATAAAAGCATTTAATCGGGTAAAACCCGGGCGTTGCCCGGGTCATTCGGCTAGTATCGTATAATTGTAACAAAAATTTTTTGACCTCTAAATTATTATTTATTTTATTACGTTATGATTATACATACAAAAAATAATAATTCAATCATGTAAAACAGGCATGTCAAACTCGCGGCCCGCGGGCCTCATGCGGCCCACAACGAATAAATTTGCGGCCCACCAGACAATATATTTTAATAAAAAAAATTTATAAATAAAAAAAAAAATAATTAAAATTTGTAGCCTAATTTTTAAAATTGTAATTATACATAATTTATTTATTAATAACGAACCACTGGTCACCATACATAAGTCGTAAGTTTTGATAATATTATACCTACATACATAACGTGTGTACATCGCCATAAGTATTGTATGCCTTAAAGTTTAAAGAAAATATTCTCTCGGAGTACTATAATTTTTTTTTTTAAAGTTACGTTCAATAATTTGTGCAGTTATTAGTATTTTTAAAAATAAACCTACATAAATGTTACTATAAAAATTTAATTACTTGTTTTCTTTTTTTGCGGCCCACATAATCTTATTACTTTTTTATTTGGCCCGGGTTAGGATTTGAGTTTGACCAGCTTGATGTAAAACATGAAGGTTGCCCTATTAATTCAGCTAGTTATGTATTTATTGATTAATTGGGTCATGATACTATTATTGAATAAATGATACATTTAAAAATATTCCAAATATATGGATTCTCATCGAGAGTGAACTAGTTGACAAAAATTGTTAAATTTATATAAATCACTTTTATATAATTCATATCAAAGCGAGGTATAGGATTACAGATGTAACACTCTACGCGTCCTTTAGGAACTGGAATAATTGAAGATCACAAGAAGAAAACTCGAATAAAAAAATTCGCAAGTCAACGAAAAGAGTCAAAGAAACCTTGTAATCATGGAAGAACCCCTATTTGCATCAGAATTCCCCAACACCAACTTCACTAACCTCAAATACCCGGTAGGTACACGAAAATACTCTATTTGGAAATTGCCAGAATGCTGAAAATAGAAGAACGAGAAGAATTCCCAAACACTGAAAATTTTCTATAGCTCTAGTGAAAGCACCTTTTCTCAGCTCATAAATATCATTTACTTCTACGGAAGAGAACTACGAGAAATTCGTTCAAACTTCGTGGAAAATACAACCAAGACTCCTCTGAAGCGCCCGAGAGTAAATTCCAAGAAGCCATAAAAGAATCAAATGCTATACAAAATAAAGCCTGGTACCTAAATACGGATCACAAGTTCTCACAAACTCTAAACCAATGTTAGAAAAGAAACAGCCAGAAAACCGCAAGCAGAATAAAATATCGAAATGTAAATCAAAGTCACTTCAAACAACAACCCGAATACTGAACAGAATCCGAAAAAATGAACCCATCCAACGAACACATGAAAAACTAGATAATGGACCTAACAACCCAAGCCCTAACCCAGAGATAAGAATACCACCAATCAAAATTTGTGGGTTAACTGAATGGTCAGGACTAAGAGAAGGACTCATTAACTGCACATAGGAAAAAAAAACAGAATTCTCCATATCTGTGACGGACTACCGCACAGCAATAAGGTGGTTGGAATAACGACACTATACCTTCCACTACAAAATCCTGGATGAAGAAAAAACCTCGGAGTTTTAGTCAGGGGCCTTGACCTCTGCATTACGATTCCCTTAATCGAAGAGGAATTAGGATATAAAGGATTTTATATGACAAAAATTGTCAGACTACGCAAGGCGAGAACAAAGGAAGAGCTGCCACTCATACAGGTTACTCTTCCCATAACTCCCAAGAACAAAGAAATTTACAACATACGGACATCTGCGACATGAAGTGCCGAGTCGAGGCATCCAGGGCCCCCAAAGGTCCAGGCCAATGTCACAGATGTCAAAAATTTGGACATTCAAAGTTTGAATGCAGAGAAACCCCCAAATGTGCCAAGTGTGAGTCATTTCATTTCCGAATGCACTAAACAAAAATAAGTTTTACCAAAATGCGCTAACTGCCAGCGAAATCGCATAGCGAACTGGCGTGGCTACCCACTTTACAAAAAGAAAAAAAAAAGATATACCCAGTCAAAAGAACCCCTGCCCTAACGCACAGAAAGAATCATCCAAGGGACCCATTTATTTAAAATTGCTCCAAACCACAGAAAATAAGGGAAACACCTGCGCAAACAAACCTAAAAGTATTCCCCCGAGAATCTCCAATTCGAGCCCCATCGAGAGTGCTATCAAAAATGCTCTCAGCGATCCAAAGATCATAGCCACCATAGTGACGAACGTTCTCGCCAACATTGGGTCTTAATGAGCACAAAATACAACAGGAACAAACTCCGAATCGTTCATTGGAACGCATGCAGCCTTCGGAATAAAAAGCAACAATTTACCGAATTCCTGAACGA